CTGGCATTTCCCATCGAGTGGCTGTTGTTGACAGCTGCCACCGAGTGGTTGCTGTTGGCACTGGCCAACGAGTAGTTGCTGCTGACATTTGGCCATTGAATGACTGCTGTTGGCACTGGCCATCGAGTGGTTACTATTGGCACTTGCCACTGAGTGGTTGCTGTTAGCATTAGCCATCGAGTGGTTGCTGCTGGCACTGGCCATCGAGTGGTTGCTGTTGGCACTTGGCCATTGAATGGCTGCTGTTGGCATTTGTCATTGAGTGGCTGCTGTTCCCAGTTGCCATTGAGTGGCTGCTATTGGCATTTGCCATCGAGTGGTTGCTGTTGTCAGTTGCCACTGAATGATCGTTGTTGGCATTTGGTACTGAATGGTTACTGTGGACATTTGCCATCGAATGGTTGCTGTTGGCACCTGGCCATTGAATGGCTGCTGTTGGCACTGGCCATCGAGTGGTTGCTGTTCCTACTAGCCATCGAGTGGCTGCTGTTGGCATTTGCCATCGAATGGTTGCTGTTAGCACTTGGCCATTGAATGGCTGCTGTTGACACTGGCCATCGAGTGATTACCGTTGGCATCTATCATCGAATGGTTACTGTTGGCACTTGCCATTTAGTGGTTGCTGTTGGCATTTGGTGTCTCTCTCAGTTACCTCCCCTATGCTTTTGCTTTTCATAAGGACCAAATGCGGTTGCGAAGTGGGCGGAGTGGGACTGCCTTTTGACGTACAAAAAGCGGTAGAAGAGCAAAACATACTTGGGCAATGCAAGAGACATCCATTTGTGGCTCTACAAATATAATATTATTAGCGACAGTGAGATTGAGGCCACGAGCGCCAGAACGCATCGGCATCACCAGCACCTGAAAACGAGTCACAGTAGGAATAACATCGATAAGTTATGTACTGCTAATGACCGGTGAAAGCAGTTGCTTCGTTTTCAGTTTAAAAAAAAAGTTAAAAAAGAATTGTTTTTTTATTTTACATGATTCCTAGCATTGGCTGATGCACAGCGGTAATCAGTTATATCAACATGCATACGTACCCCTGTTGCTTTTCATCAGAACTACACCTGTCTATGAACAGCAGTAGGTTATTGGTCAATGTCTGCATAGCACAAACCATTAAAGAAGGAAAATAATGGGCAAAATCCCCTAAAAGTTCCAGTCCCCAAAAAGCCTGTTGGGCAAAGTTCCCCGAAAGTTTCAGCCCCCTAAAAGCCTACTGGGCAAAGTTCCAAAACTCATACGTTTCCCGACAAGTAAAACATCATTTGAAGTTGTCACATCTTAAGGTGGCTCCAGTCAATTTTCTACTTACAGCGCCATAGCACAGAATAATCCAATACAGTTAAAATCCAATTGCCTCCTCGTCAGAAATGATGGCCATAATAGAGGGCAATTAAGGCGAAATGACCCCATAAGCGGAGAAGAGAACGTCATACATCTAGCATCTCAATCTAAAACAACTGGGAGAAGGGGGAAGGAGACTAGTCAAGGGAAGGGCAGGGTAGGGGAGGTGTGATAGCAGGGGGAGGAAAGGG